ATTTTATCGCTCTGCTGACCCTTGGGGTCCATTTTATTTTGGTATACCTTTTCTAGGTACGTTAGCCTGTGACCACGGAAATTGGCCGAGTCAAGTGATGGATTAGTACGGAGAGATTGAGACAGAAGGAGGTACTGGATAGAGAGACCGGGATGGTTTTTAATGTGAAGACAACAACAACAACAACAACAACGTCTGTCGAGAACGAAACCCTCTTTTCCACATAGGCTATCTAATGGACGTAGACTATCAGCGGTAGTAGCTGTCACTTGAAACAAGGGCTACTGTCAGGCTTCCGCCGGCGTGTACTTGCTTGCCTTTCGCAGCAGCAGACTTCTTTCCCTCCCAGAGTGACCTCATGGGGTAGCCTGTGAACATTCGTTGTGGTTCAGGACCCGTGAAACCACATGTGCTGTTAGCCCGTTCGCTGTGTGGGCGTTGAAAACCCGTAGTCTACACATCTTGCACCAAACTTTGTTGGTCATGGGCGGTGAGAGACTTGCTTAATTAGTGTCCGAACAGTATCGAAACTACTTTGAATTCGTCTTTGTTTGGGTTGATCCTCAGCCAGAAGAGAGTACTTGTGGCCTTGCAATAGTCGGCGGCGACACTTGCGAATTAGAGGGGTTGAGATGACAAGCAAAGGGAGAAGCGTTTCATTTAGCTCGATGTAGTTCCACGAGTTTGAAGTTTGGTGCGAGGTATCATCGCCCCCAGGTCCAGAGAAGGGCTGCTAATAGTCTACTTCCGATTCCAGAGAACACGTCGTCACACTCAACCAGCTACTCTGCGGCGTTGAAAAAAGGTAACTTTGATGATTCACAAAGCGACGTTTAGCTCTTGTGACGTATTATTGCTTCTGTGAAAAATCCGTGTGTCGTCCGTAAGCAGCGCACGGTTGTTCGTGGTCAGTAGGCTACTATTTACTCGGTGATTTCGTGATCGTAAAAATGATGTTTGAATCGTTGATTTCGAGGGCATTTATTTCACCTCAGAGCCCCATCAAACTTCGCACATCGCTACAGGTGGCCGCGAGAGCTGCCCAAGTCCCTCGCTGGCTTGACCACCCACAGCCTCTCGCCTCTAGCAGCCACCGCTTGGTTGCAAAGACCAGTAGTCTACAATAGGACCATAATACATGCGTTTGTCATACTGGAAATTTCTTCGGGTACAGTACAATGGTGTGTTGCCAAGCTGCACGTGGACACAGTAGTCCGTGAGTGCATCGCCTTTGTGTGGGTGAGGATGTGTCGCGCATGACAAGTGTGGTGGCTGTTCACGACGCAATCGCCGGCCCGAGTCACTTGCCGAAAATACCACCGAATTCACTGCTGTCCGACTCACTGGATACTATTAGCTGGATCGACTGTTGTGGTTTCCCGATTACACCACTTGGACCAATCTTGTTTGTCTCTGCGCTGTCATAAAAGTGTGCATCTATCTCCCATGAGCGCAAACATCTCAGGCTCCATTTTCGATGGGTAATCCCGGTGTGACCGGCTGCGCCGATGTGATTTGGCCGTCACTCGAAACGCTGGGTGCTCAATTACGTCGTACACGCCGTGACATCGTGATATTGTTGTTGTTCGATTCAGGACACGCCTAGCCCACTCCCTTTCGTCCTTGTAGCAACTTGCACATCGCACACACAAGACAACATATTTGTAACAAATGGACGAGCGCAAAAATGTGGGCCTTCTTTCGGCAAGAAAAGTCCGATCCCCTCCTTCCCAGCCTCTATGATACACGCGTACGTGAAAACTCCACACGTGAGCTGTGCATGTTCAAAAAAGCAATACCCTGCGTCGGCAGACAGCTCCAGAGACTACTGTAGACCAACCAAACTGTTCTATCTCCTCTATCGCGGGCGGGCCGTTTCACAAGACACGCCTTCTCCCCATCCCCTCTCTCCTTCCAAGCTCGCACATCGGCCTGTTCATTCCACCATCTCGCAACGCGGTTCGCAGCGAACCACGGGATACTCCCCCCTCTTTCTATCGAGTCCTCACTATTCTACAAACCTTGCTCATGCTGATTTGGCCGTACCGGACAGCACGGAATCCCGTGCACAGCAGTGCTTACCGTGGATGTTTATACCAAGCGCCAGCTTGGCGGGATTTCGGGGCCGACAGGATGGTCGACGCACAAATTTCATGACGGTGCCTACATAGGATGAAACTGCAGGCGTGAGGCGGTGTGGGTACCGTCTTCCCTCAACCACGGACCCCCCCAGCAATCGTTAGAAGAACAACAATTCATCAGCCCGAGACGCTGCTAGCACCAGAGCACTGATAGCACGATCATCACCACTGCCCCGATAATCCTGTACGTCCGAAGAGCGCGTCCTTTTGCTATATCTGCTGTTCTCCATCTTCGTAGAAAACACCTGCACGCATCCTCGTGCCGTAATCCAGAAGCATCACATTCAACACCTGGATGAAACGACGCACACGCACACACACAATCTGCAGCCTTTGGCCGACCGCCGAAACTATCATGAGCAGGCAAGGCCACCCCGCGGGGCTGTACAATAACGCAAGAAAATACTCTACTAATCGAAGGTATTTCCTTCCCGCCGGCAGCGGCCGCAAGGCCTACGGTGATGCAACCCCCCCCCAGACTGTACATCTTTGCCTTCCGCCAACCAAACGCCGAGATAATTGCATTGGGTCAAGCACCAGATCTTGCTAACCGCGCTTCCAATGCGATATCGGAGCAATGGACGATGGCGACGACAAGGCTAATTGGGCGCCACACCGCGTATAAACACCCCCAATCACCTTGCGTTACGCCAAAGAGCCTCTTGCTACGGGACGGGGTCCACCCATACTTCATTCTTCCATGTCTCCTTATTCCCTATCGTTGCCCGAGTTATATCCCGAAGTGGAGGAAACAACAATCCCCTCCACTTCAGCTATCGTAGCGCTCGACGATGCAAGCGTGGCCGAGCCCCCCGTCCGCGCACGCCGCCACGAGCGCGTACCGGCCCCCCTCGCGGTGCAGCCTGTTGGTAGCCGTCGCCACAAGGCGGACGCCCGTGGCTCCGAACGGGTGCCCAAGGCTCAGGCTGCCGCCGTGGATGTTGAGCTTCTCCATGGGCACTTCGCCCAGCTGGGAAGAAGAGGCGAAGAGAATAACAGCGACCGATATGTTGATCGACCATTCGAAGAAGCGGTGGAGGGGGGGTGAAAGGACAGCTGCTGTTGACTGACGGGGGGGGGGGGTTTGAAAAGCCAGTTTCGGGAAGACGAAAGAGGGGGCACACAATAAACGTGTTGTACTCCCGCCGTCGCGCCGGCAGACAACAACTCATACCTTCTGCAACACTACGTTGACGCGTACGGAATGTATTCTGGCGACCCCCGCGACCGCATGCCTACGCAGACAAGATGTGCCACGGCACGGATGCCGTGTAAATACGGCTTCGTTTCCTTGTGATCGGTTCAGGCGTTGCGCCCAGGAACACGCCCTCGCACGCACACCCAAAGCCGGGGAAGGAGCACGCGGGATCATTTCGGCCAGGAAGTAAACAATCATCAAGGTCAAGGACACCGGACACATCGAGACTGCTCGTAGGGCGAGGAGAGTCTCAACATAAAATGGGGCGGGAAAAAAACATTTCTTGGCCGTGCGACTGGCGGTATCGCCACCGATTGCCCCTATCGAGACGAAACGCTGCTTTATGTACTTCTAGCTCCCACTCCAAGTAGAAACACGCCCCGTACTTTGCCCCTGTACAACCGGGGGTAGGTTGCGTGTCAGCGCACAAGGGGTGTTTCAAAACATAATTCCTCCACAAGCAGGAGGGTGCGAGCGCCAACTGATACTTCTCAGGAAAGCTCTCGATGAGATATTTTCAAAACCGCCCTTTCGACAGCAGTGGTAACCTCCCGGTTGTGGCGACATCACGCTTTGAAAATCGCTCGCACCCGTATGAGCTGACGGGCAGCCTTACAGTAAGGGGGCTACACCGGGCACAATAGTTACCCACCTTGGCGCTTCTCCCCATGCTCTTCTGCGCGAAATCGGTCGAGTTCATGGCGGCCAGGTTGGAGAGCACCTGTCCCGCAAAGGCCTCGTGTATCTCGAAGACGTCGATGTCGTTCAGCGTGAGGCCGGCATCATCTAGCACCTGTCGGAAGCAAAAAACGAAAAATCCCATGTTATCAAATCCCATGTTATAACAATTGTGCTGGATGCTGTTATTCGACGTCTGATAGCTAGCTGTCGGAAGCCAAATGAAACTCATAATGTGTCACCGTGTGCTGGCTGTGACGTGTGATGGAAAAGCATAACTATGCCCTCACGAGGGGTCAACACCGCCGGGTGACCCTTGGTCGTTTTTCAAGGCACACCAGCACCGGGTACCGCGCCTCCTGGGTGTATGTACTGCCAAAACCTGAAAAATGAAAAATACCCAAAACAAAAAAAAACACACAGAGCAGATAACTACATAATTCCCCTTGCAAAGGGCTTCATATGCCAAGTGGTTTGCGATGGCTACGATAAGTCGATTTGTGCCTTTCTTTGCCAAGACCACACCATACGTTCAAAAAGCAGCAGTAGGGAGGGTAGATCTAAACAGACGGGTTGAATTTTTTTACCTTTGCAGCACCGAAGGCGGGCCCGAGGAGGAGGTCCTCGAACGGGTCCAGGGCCACAAAGGCCCAGCTCTTGAAGCTCGATCTAGGCGCCAGGCCCATCTCCAGCGCCCTTACAATAATGAAAAAAACAATCTAATGTCAGACGCGAACGACAGCACGACGGGTGCTAAAGTAGCGAGTTCTCAGAAGGGATATGCGCCATCCTCACGTGTAGTGAGTAATATGGCAGTTTGGAGGGCGGGAAGGGAAGCAAACGCGGCGGCATGACTACTGGGCGGGGGAACGACCTACCCGCTACAGCAACAACAACGGCATCGCACACTCTTTGTGATTCAACAGGGTACCTAACGGACATCAGCAAACATCAAAACAAGCAATTTCACTCACCCGGAGTACTTCCAAATATCAGCAAACTTCCAAAAACAAATTTGAAGAAGCAACCGATTCCACTCTATCGAGAAGGTACATGCGGCAAAGACACACCTGCCCTCCCACGTCATGCGCGCGGCCGAGGATTACCATTCAACCAATATCAGCACACATTCAACAAAAAAAACGCAGAAAGTTAACCGAACCCATTCTACTGCTGTATCGAGAGGGGACTTGCGGACAAGACACCAACCTGCCCTCCGACATGATGAGCGCGGCCGAGGCCCCATCGCTTAGGAAGGACGAGTTGGCGGCGGTGTGCGTCCCGTGGGGCTTCACGAAGGCCGGCTTGAGCGAGCCCAGCTTCTCGAGGGTGGATTCTCCCTTCACGCCGTTCTCATCGGTGCTTCCGTCCACAGGGATAATCTGTGCCGGAAAGAATGAATCAACGAGGCGCAACAACATGGTCGATAGAGACAAGCAGATCAGGAACAATTGCAAGCCGGGGCACGGACACGCAACAGCAGTAGGTGGTGGTGGTAGTGGCTGCGGTTCTCGGTGGTTCTTCTGTCCAATGGAAGAGTTCCCGCTGCTTCATCCGAAAATTCAAATTATGTCTGTCCAATGGAAGAGTTCCGCTGCCACATCCGAAGATTCAAGTTGTGTCTGTCCAATGGAAGAGTTCCGCTGCCACGTCCGAAAAATTATATCCGTCCGAGGGAAGAACTCCCGCTACTAATTTGAAAAATCACAAAAATTGAAAAAGAGGGGAAGGGGGCATACCGCAGTACCCTGTTTGATGTATGTGTGGTGTACTTGCCAGACACCCATCGTTACATTGTTCTTGCTAACACAGCAGTGTAGGTCTTGCCGTACCAACCCTCGCCCGGGGTTTTACCGGGATGACATGATTCAAACGCCGAATCCGCAGCACCGATACGACGGAGACAGGTGCATCCCACCAGCTGTAAGGAGTTGGCGCCTACGAAAGTACAACACAGCGGTACCGTAGGTGACATGACACAATATTCCACACCCCCTTCGACCAATTTTCAACGTTCGGCTACTCCGCGACGAAAAGGATGTGGTATTTAACAAACGATACGTTTTCGGAAACCTCTCGACAAGGTGGTTCCAAGTAGTTGTCGCTGTGGAGCATCCGAGCTTCGAAAATTGGCCCAAGGGGTGTGATACCTCACGTTACCTACGGTGGTAGTTTACTGTAGTCCCGATATTGTCAGGATGGGAGCTTGCGGGAGGGCGGGATTATCCCGGCGGAGGAGAGGGTGCTGTCGGCCAAATGAAGCTCTATCATGGCTTGATGTCCAGTACGTTCCGAATTTTCTCCCCATAAGAGTAGGAGAAAATACATGTCTTATGAGTTACCGGTATTTTTGTTCATCTGGGCCTTCGTCGCCCTGAAGGGGCACGACTATCAGACTCCCGAACAGGAAAGTGGCGGAGAGTGATAGGCGAGAATCAGCGTGTATTCGACTCAAGGGGAAAAACTTAGCACACGAGTAATGCCAGAGGGGAGAAACACCTGCCACACGCGATTCGTCCCAGAATCGAAGGCACTCAACCTGACCCAAAAACTCGCGCCAAGCAACAGAAAGGATGGGCGTGTGCCTGCTACCCTTTGCGCATGCATATCATACCTCCTGGTCATAGATGCCATCCGCGTGGGCCTTTGCCGCGTTCTGGTGGGACCGCAGCGCAAACTCATCCTGCTCCTGCCTTGAAATACCAAACCTGGCGTAAAACACAAGTATTAAATTAACGTTTCATTGAGACACAAACCGAAGTTGATTTCACCATAAGCGGAACATGGACCCAGGCCCGCTGCCAAGAAGAAATTTCGGGAAAAGGTTCCGCGGAACGTCCCGAACCTGGGAGAAATAACGTCTAAGACGGATTAAAACCGATCCAGACGAACACTATCTCCTCTGGCAGCAAAAAGGGCAAGGTCTGCACCGCAGAGGATCTGTTTCTGTTTGATTCTTGATCAAGGCTTGTGAGTTAACGAGAAGGCCGTAGGCGAGGAATGAACGGGGTGACGGACGCACCATCACCGTCCGGGCGAAGGGTATACTGCCAAGGTTGTCAAAAATGACAACAAGGTATCAAGGGAACATGGGGAAACTTACCCAACGACGGCACACGTACAGCAATCACTTGTCTCCTAGCCTACCGTAAGAGGCGGAGAGATGACAACCCCCTGGGCCGACTTTCAAAGCTCGATTGCTCCACAACCAAGGTTGTCTGTACCGTACCGTATACCGTAACGTGGTATTCCGTAAGAGGCGGAGAGATGGCACCTCCCTAGACCGACCTTCTAAGCTCGATTGCTCAGCAACCAAGTGGATCCTGAAAGAGCCCAATACATCTACGAAAGCCCTAGTTAAGATGAATCCCAAACCACCATTATTGGTGTTGGCACAAGCTTGGACCGAGCAATGGAGCTGTGAGAATTGGTGTACGGGAGGTGCCATCTCTCCGCCTCTCACGGTATGCATTCAAGGGTACGTTTGCTGGCAGACTCAGAATCATGACTCATAGCGACGTGAATTGTATGAGGAGCCAATATCTCCAGAGAACATCTGAGTCCTGCTGCTGCTGCTGCTGTTGCTGCTGCTGCTGCTGCTGCTGCTGCTGCTGCTGCTGCTGCTGCTGCTCTTGCTACGCTTCGTCATTATATGTTTTACTCACGTCTCCACGAACTACTCCACAGCAGCGCTCGCCACACCAATCGAAAAGGAGTCTTAGAACAGATCATTGCGGCCATTCAGATTGTCACGTTTTGAAGGCCTCTTTTCCGCCAAGAACCTCAGCTGGGATATATCTTGTTATCGATCGACACCTGGCAATGCACAATTTCCACACCTCACTTCACGAAAAACGTTGTTCAGCCAGCCTTAAACTGAGAAAAAGGAATCAATCTCCGTAGATACGCAACGATATTCTACGTAGATACCTACCTCCCGGATAGGCGATCGCTGCTGTGGCCCATAACCTCCCCCGTCGTGTAGTTAGCGATGGCGGGCGTCTCCGGAGCGATATCCTACGGTGCCCCACAACAAGCGCACCGGACACCATGCACCAGGGCGCACCACGAGAGGTGAGATAGCGAGTGAGGGTTTGACGATGAAAGCGGTACGCCCAAACATGTGTGGGAACGAAAATAATTTTACCGCGGAGCCCCCCTGCGCAGCCTTGCAGGGGGGGTGCTACAACCATTCACGACGTCTCCCCCCACGGCAAAAATGAACGCTCCGAACTTGCTGTCTACGAAATATCTACCGCGGGCTCGCTGGGGGGGGTGAGAGGTGTGATTTACCACGAGGTTGGTTTACCTTGAGCTTTAGCCCTTTCAGAAGCCCCAAGACGCTCGCAAGGCCCTTCTTCTGGGCCTTCCCTAGGTTGAGAAGGCGGTTCCTGTGTGCCGAACACGCGCGGGACGGGCACGACGGATCGGTTGGCTGCTTGCTGACTTGCCGATCGACACAGCGACCGAAAGCTGCATACCACCAAGTAGCAACAAAGCTCGAAACAAAACAGTGAATCGCGCCCCCGTACAACAACGTCTGAACCTTGAGTAGCAGCGAAAACAGCGAAAATTCCTAGGTTGCTTGTTAATGTCACCCCCTCGGGGACGATTTTTTTTGTGGAAGGATGAATGTCTTGGCTGAAATGAAAAAACAAGCACGCGGTGGCGGAATAAAGCTTGTTCTTTGGGTACACGCGGGGGCAGGATAGCTGGCTGTGTGCCTTCCTCGGGTGAGTGAAAAGTGAAGGGAGGCGTCCACCTCAGAGGAATACCACTCTTCTGTGTGTGGCATCGGATGAGCTCTCCCGTTAGATGCGGCAAAAGCCAGCAGACGGTAGACAGCGGCTGCGACCAGTCTTGGACAAATTGGACGACAACAAGGGGCTCCGTGAAATGCAGGGAAAGGCTCACGACAAGGACACCACGCAACCAATACCAACATCCTCCAATAAATTACCGACACCTGCATGTAAGATCAGCAACTACAGAACGAGAGCACATCGGACATGGATCCTGTGCGGCGTACCTGATTGGCCGCGAGAAGCGAATAGGTAGGTCCGAAAATGTCTCCACGCCACCAGCGAGCACGACGTCGGCGGTACCGGCGAGAATCTTCTCGGCGCCGTTACACATGGCCTGGTTGGCTGAGGTGACAACGGAAATAAACAGCACGACAATCAATGTACACGCCAAGAGAGAGGAGAGGGGTTAAAAAAAAGTCGCGGGAGAAACAAGGTTTGTGGTGGGGGTCGATACGGCCACAAAAGGGGTAGGACCCGGCATTGGAGGCAATGCATGTGGACGGCGAGTGGCGCCAACAACACAATAGCCTACGCGGTCAAGACAGAGGGCAAGCACTAGGGTTGGCACCTTCCCCCGCCGCCTGATCCCATGGTCACAAAAAATGAGAGAAAAGGGGGTTCGTCCATATCGCTGCGACAAGGGTAGCAATCTACGTCCCTAAGGTTAGGAAGGACGACATAGCGATTCTGCCACAATGATCAATACCATATGACTCAGAGCGGTTGTGTTGGGCAGAGCTCAGATACTAGCTCTGCGCCGGGTATGCGGAACACATTCTTGCTAAGCTATCTCCGCGTGTCGTGTGCGACCCCTGCGGAAATTCTTCGCATTTTTCGTTTTTCCAGTCTTTCGTGGCGGCGTAGACAACGAAAAAGAGCAAAGTGAAAAAACACTTTATTTCTTTTGTGTGTCGAGTAGAAGCAAAAGCAGCGGGTATCAAGTCACCTTCGGCGACGGGCGCGAGCCTCTACAAAGCCAAACCCGACACACGACCCAAAAAACACAATACACCGCGCTACAAGAAGAGAGACGTCAAACTTCGATGGACAAGAATATCTAACATCTCGATCGATCGAGGCATCCCGCGGCACACCAAAAACATCGGAAAAAAAGTTTATTTGGTTCCCGCCCACAGCAAGGGGGGGGCGCCCGCCATTAACGGCAGTCGAAAATGGCATGGGCTTGCACGGGGGCGAAGCGGACAACCCACCAGAAATGCACGCCTGGGTGACGGTGTGAGAGGGGACGGAGACAGGAATCCCCGCCCCCATGCCGGCTTCGCGTGCAATGTTGGAGGTTCTCGACTCCTGAGAAACGAGACAAAGGCAAAGCGAGCCGTGAGTTTTGAAGGGAATCGACGACAGCAGCAGATGCCGGACAGAGAGAAAAAATAGCTCTTACGCCGAGCCGATTTGGTGCACCGAGAAATCGGGCAATACAAGGTGGCCGTTGGCCGATTTCTGCACGAATCACTTCTAAATTATCTCGTGACCTGCGCTTGGAATGTAGCGCGATCTTGCCGTTGGTGTATCGATCGAACGCCCCCCCCCCTCAAACAAGCCTTCAAGGGATGACACCCCAAGCAGATTCAGCGGTACAGGCAGCCCGCAACATGTACCAATAGTGTGTCCAGAAATAAACGCCTCTTTCATCATGTACAAGTAGTGGTGCTTCAGAACGAGAATTGGCAGAATCGCACAAACTTCACGACAGTGTTGATAGCGTTCCTAGAAGCAGGCGTACACACCGCACGTCTCTGCACATGGTAAGAAAACGTTAGCTGCGTAGTTCTGTCTCGAGTGCTGCTGCTAGGCACTGCTGTTGTTGATGAGGCCCACCACGGGCTGGTCGTTTTTCGCACCTGGATGACAGTCCCAAACAGAAGGTAGTCCACGTCCTTCGGATCCAGCTCTGGATTCCTGTTCAGCAGCCCCCTCAGGGCGAGCTTGCCGAGGTCAACAGCGAGAAGGTCCCTGGGTGGGGCGCGCAAGAGGTTATTGACAAGTTGGAACAGAAGGGGATGCTTGTTGAGGAGAGTCATCCAGAAAAGGGCAAGTTGGAAGGGGATGCGCTTGGTTGGGAGAGTTTTTCATCTAGACAAGGAGCAGAGGTTAAGGACAAGCAAGAGATTATGCTTACGGGGAAAGATGGGTGATCTAGAGATTCAGGGAGGCTTAATCTTAACCCTGGGAATAATGTTCAATTATCTGCGAGGATGATGCACAGGAACACGGCACCCCAGCGGAAAACCTACAAGACGTCTTAGCTGGTTGCCGCCGCCTGTTTGAGTGGCATCGCATCCTGTGCAACCCCCTAAGCTACCAGATCTGAGAGTACAACATAATCTCGCGCGTGTCGATCCCGTGAGAAGCCGAGTACCGCCACCCTGGTTTATGGTGCTCTCGTTGCTACAGGTCGAGGGGTGTACAGTAGTACTATACCTAAGAGTGGGAGCATAATACGGAGTTCAGAGGGTGGGGAGGGCAGATCTCTGTCTTGTGTGTCTGTGTGCTGTCAGGAAGGATCTCACCACAAACAGTGCGGAACTCAGTCAACTCAACAAAGGAACCGCTCAGCTCTGGCGCCCTCGAGGGTCCATTTGGTACACTATGTGTCCAGCAGTAGTTCTGTGGCAATGCATACAGCAGTAGTTGAGATACGAGTACACCGGTGTACGTGCTGTACACCTGACACAGCCGCAGTACAGCGGTTGTGCTGTATTCTATTAGACTAGTCGACCAACACATTTTCTTCTGAAACCGACGGCAATATTTTGAGGTGTGCGGTACATGCACACCCATGAGTATGAGGGACAGGTGCATTAACAGCTCATTGGCTCGTGCATAACTCTGGCTGCTCAACTGCTGTGAATGCTACCGTATGCATTGCATCTGCATTGGGTGCAGGCGCGGACAGATGTGTAACAAACAAAAACTTCAACTGCAACCAAAAACGGCGGAGGGACGAGGGACGGTTCCCACACCAACTTGTAGATCGCGCCGTTCCCATTCACTACTGTGGATGATACAGATCTTCTCTCCCACTGACAAAAAGAAGCGCACGCTGCGGCAGACGGTTTCCGCACCGGGACCTGCGTTCACAACAGCAGGTACCCCATGGGTCTACATAGCAGCATCGCTGCAATGTTCGTTCCTTTTCGTCGGGCGGATGCTCTCAAATCCACGGCGCAATGGCAACCCGCTCGAGATCCACTTCTGTCACTACAAGACGCGAGCTTGTGGTGAGCGAGGCAAGAACGCGAACAGACCGGAACGACGGGAACGCTAGCTCACTTGTATGTCGTGCCACTCAAGACGAAGGGGATGCGGGCACCGTCGACGAAAACGGGCTTTCTGCTGCTGCTGCTGCTGCTGCTGCTCCTGGCTGAAGACGAGTTTGCTCGGCGGCCGCAGCTAGCTCTTGCTGCTGCTGCTGCTGCTGCTGCTGCGCGCGAGGACACCGTCGCGGCTCGCGCTGATCGCATCGTCGCGGTGACTCCTTTATGAACCATGGCCTTTCTTAGTGTGCGTGGGCGAGAAAAAGATAGAGAGAAGCACAGAGCAGAGCGAAAGAGAGCTGTGCTGTGTGTTGTGGTAGGTCCAGTCGGTCCAAGGAGCTCGGAAGTTTCAGGAGCTCCGCCAATTCTTTGGCACTGTGAGGTGGGTACGTTGAGGTTGTCCAGCTTGCGTGCTCCGCGGCAGCAGGAGCCGCCGTCGCACAGACTGAGACATGTCCTGTGTGTTCCCTTGCCTGCCACGCAGCGACTGAGTGGTCGAGACTAGCACCAGCGTGTATTACTGGATGACCGGAGATGCGGTTCAGCGTTTGCTCTTAGCGGTGAGCGGGATGCTCTCAGCTCGGACGCTAGCGATTTCCGGAGGAGGAGGAGGGCAATCGATGCACCTGCGCTCCTACCGAACCAACGTGCTGCATCATGCTACCGCGCGGCAATCGGCGCTGCTGTACACACTCCAGACGGGTCGTAGGACGACCGAATTTTTGAAGCCAAGTGGTCCCGTGAGTCATGCCGGTGAGTGCTGATCTCCACTACCTGTGTGCGGTTGTTGTTGAAATCGAAAACTCACATGTATGTCTTGAGCAGCATGTTGTACTTTATTGTATATAGTCTAGTCTACATGCAATACATGCGGTTGCTTTCTGTCGTGTGTACGTCTCAGCATACAGCGGTACGCCGAATGGACTACGGGTAGAATGCATGTACCCCTTGACATGTGGAGAGGTGTGTCGCATGTATCAATCGTCCAAAGTCTGAAGTTGATGATCCAGAGAGGACGCAAAAGAACCTCAACCTGCAGTCCAACCGTTTTACGTTGCACCGCATCGACGGCCGGGGCCCGGCGCCGGGGGCGGCAAAGTCGTTGTCGGTCGTGTCATTCACCAATCGTCAAGTTTGTCAAGCGTCAAGGCGAAGAGCCTCCTATCCCCCGGCCAAGAAAACGCCCGGGTGGGTACGGGGCTTACTGGGGTTATCACCACACACAAATACACCCACAGACCATCGGGTAACGCTGTTCTTACATTCTTCGAGTAACTACATTGAACAATCGAACCATGCCCCACACTGCGACGCGCTCATTGGCATATCTGAAAATCGTTCCATTGGGTAAATTTGATGAATACGCAACGCGGCTGGAGAGAGAACAGGAGGTTCCAAGTTCCCTTTTTCATGTTCCCATGTTCATATTGTACATGGCCCGCCGTCAACCAGAGTTCACGGACGAACGCACGCGACCATACTACCGGCCGTCGTCTCAAAGATTGTTGTAGCGCCTGGATCTCTCCGCAGCACATCAATGAAAAACACCGCTAAGAACATCACTACGACCCTCCGTGAGATGCTCCCTTAGGTCGAGCAACCCCTATGCTACTGCTGTGGGCTCAACTGAATCCCGACGTACAACTCTGACATATCAGTCTCGACGGCAGTGTCGACCACTACGAGGGCGCACACGCGCGAAATTGCGGCCAAAAGCTGGCGCCACAAACACACAACAACCCCGAGAACATGCCGCGTCGCCAGATGATTCGACAGCTTTGACTCGCCAATGATGTGTTCTGTTCGCCCACTAAACTGAGCCCCCCACATGTCTTGGCGCCCTTCCTGTAAGCAGCACCATTCCGGTCCGCGTGGGAACGGGCAATAACGCGGCGGCAAGCTACGACACAAAGACTCGTCGGCGTATCTAACGGGGAGGGTCAAGTAGCCGCGGCGGGATGGTGCAACGAGGACGCATTGTTTTCCGCGGGCGACGGCGGGAGCCATGCTCGCCGAAGACATCGGAACGGCGGCGGGCGTGCCGGCCGTGACCTGGCGCTGGCGATGTCTGCCGTAGGCCGCCCCCCGCAACTGGCCCGCCTGTCTTGGCCGACGGCATCGCTATCGTCGTACACCCGGCCAGACGCGCATGTGGAGGCTGGAAGCAGCGGCGGCAACGTTCCCGGGCCGGGGCACGACTTGGCTTCGAAGCAAGGGGTTTCCATTCCCGAGGGAGGCGTTTCGGCCACGAGGGAAGGAGGGGTCGAAAGCTCGGCGGCACCAGGGGCGGGAAGCCGAAGGCAAGTGGCTGGGCGGGAGGCGAGGGCAGCAATAGGAGATGCTGGTCCTGCTGCTGCGGATGCTACGGATGCTGCTGTAGCTGTCGGAGAGGGAAACGACGATCGTTTGGGGTGGGGGGTGACCGATGAGGAAGAAAAGGGTGGGGATGGAGAGTGGTGTCCCCGTGTGGCCAGGGCCAGCGCGTGCGAGGAGGTGCCCCAGCTGACGGAAGCCTTTCGGGAGTTCGACGAGAAGCACCCGGGTGCCACGATCATGTGAGCGTCGTGAACGACGTCGACGGAATTCACGGGCACAATCGGGAAGGACAAAGGTTATGTAGCGATATATTGAGTCCCCAAAACTGGAAATTTAAAAACACCAACTGCAAAATATAGACAAAACACTGCCAATCATTTAATCATTTTGCCGTTCCACCCCCGGGTTGTGTCCTCGATGAACTGCTTTCGCTCCCGCCAATATCTTGCGCGTGAGGAGTGCAGCTATTGTGACTCCTTCAGTACCAGAACGGAGTCACCTACTCAAAGACGTACCCGATCATTGTGTGCGGGAGAGTGAACCTCCCCCCCCCGCCCCTCACAAACCTCCTCCCCACCCTTGGCAGGGATGCGAGGTCAATGGTCTAACGACTGCGGCATGCACGACTATGCGTACACCCCCCCCCCCCCCCCCCCCCCCCCCCCCCCCCCCCCNACCCTCCGCACAGATACCTTGCGCACTCGGGGTCCCGCCTGTACGGAACCAACACCGCCAAATCTGACGTCGACCTGAAGGGAATTTTCATCCCTGACGTCCAGAAGGAGAAGGAGGCTCGGCGGGCGGCCGCGCAAGTCAAGGCTGTGGCGAAGGCTCAGGTGACGACGTGGGTCGATGGGGGGGCGTACTCTTATGCTTTGCATGCCTTAGCGGTCAGACCATTGACTACGAGAGGACGGATTGTTGTTCCCACAGGACCGATCACCGATGGCCAATGGTTCCTTCCTACTGTGTGGATCAATGGGGGGGGGGGGGGGGG